TGCCACATAGGACTAATGTGTCAACTTGTTCAACTTTATACAAGTTTAAGTGTCTATTTGTGCACACCCAAATAGACATAGTTAACATTATTGTTACGTCTGGTCTGCTATTGCAAGGAGAATCTATGCCAAGAAGGTATACATACTAATGGAGAAGGAGAATACAGAAAGTTGTACCACTATTGAAGATGGATGAATACAACAGACACGAGTATGATCCGAAAGTAGTTTCATTAGAACCTTACCATCATGGCAAGACAGAGCTACCGCTAGCAGAGCATTTCAAGCATATAGCCCTTGAAATGTTTGTTTCGGGTAGCTACAAAGACGTAGTTTATTTCTATAACAAGATACCTGAAGTTGTTGACAATGCAAGAAGTTGTTATGTTGATGGCTCTATGGACAAGTACAATGATCATGAATTTGCCTTAATTATGCTTCTTGATGCTTGCTGTATTATCAACCACGTCGAGCTTAGCACAACGGAAATGTATAACGAACTCAGATCCACGAGACACCATCTTGGAATGTTGCTTTATCAACAACAGTTCGTGACATGTTTTTTGCTTGAATCAAATCCCATTTTAGATACTGAAGCTCTTGATCAGCTAACGATATGACAAAGATGAAAGAGATGAATTACTCGAGATGTTCTCGAATTTCACCTTTTCGGTGAATATGAACAAAAAGAGAAAATTAGTTACAACCATGTAGAAGAGCCTCTCCATCTTCTTGAAGCATTTAGAACAAGACTTGTCTCACAACAGAGTGAAGTATGAAACTTTCATCGTACTTGCACACCTCAATGGCTAGAAAGGAAGAAAAGTATTAGCAATGAACACTTTACCATGAAAAGCTACATTAACTTCTTTCATTTAGTTACGATCTCAAAGCAAAAGGTATTCATTACAAGCCTAGTTGCACTCATTCACTCAAGGATATAAAATTCAAATCGAGATACTTCTATGGACAACTTGTACTTCCAACCTGGTATGTTTCTATCTACACAAATCCATTCTTCTTAAACATGATAGCCTATGAGATGTGTCCAAATACAGTTAACTGATCGTGCTATGACATTACCTATTTTGAACTTTTGATGGAGTTGTTTCCATAATTTCCATCACGGGTCCCAACATTACCTATTTTGACTTCGAAAATTGGTTCATCTCTGAATTAAGTATCAACCCTAGGCCGACTAGCACTTTCATCATCCACATTATGATTCCGCCAGCATAGTTTAGCATCACCTTTTAAATACATTGTGGTGATAGCCAACTTGTCAGTCTCTCAACAACACAATCACTCGTGAAGTTGAACCATAGTTTTTTTTATAATCATAGATGGGGACCTTTTACGCAATGAATGGATTAAATTAGGTAGAAAGAAAATAAAAGAGCCCTTAACACCATTTGAATGCTAGGTACTACTTGTTTAATTGAATTTAATTAAAGGGGATTAATTCGGCTCGGAGATTGTCAATTGATTTGGAACATGTTGGGTGCTTTGATGAGAGCCTTGTGTCACGGACTTAGGGTTTTTGCTAAAGCTCCGTACGGCACTTGACAACTTACTCACGAATCTTTCACGATCTTGTAAGCTCAAGCAAGCCCTTTTATACTAAGATCGCTAAGAAAATGCTTGGAGATACTTAGAAAGAATAAGAAAGAGAGCTTTGAAGAAGACTTTTGTATTGCTTTAGAAGATTGCTTTACAACTTGCTTGATTCTTAGCAAATGAAGGTCCCTCCTATTCATACTAAAACCCAGGGGCCAAAGTGTAATTTTAAAATTACATATAAGTCTCTACTTATTTACTCTTTGATCGTTATTCTAGAAAAGTCTACACTTTCTTAGACTTTCTTGAATAGTATAAGTTATTCTAGAGAATTCTAAGGAACTTTCTAGCCTTCTTGATTAATCTAGAAGGTTCTAGAGTTCTCCGCAAACTTCTCCACAACTCTAGACCCTTCCGCCCCCATTCGAACGCAAAATTCAATTGTCATGTGGCGGAACGTGACACTCTTCCCCACCTATTGATGCGACGACCGCGTCACATCGTCACTTCATCAGCGACCGAGTCTTGTCTTCTCGTACGCGTGACCAATAGCCCATTGGCTCGATCAATGACATCGCAAAACTCCTTCAAATGTTTCTTTATCTCTTCTATCTCGGACTCACGATCTACCTCTTTCCTAGGAGGCAAAAGCCTCGACAACTTTCTTGGCATCACAGTATTATTCCCTCTTGGAATCTTCTTCGTGCATGGTGACAATGTCTTCTTAGCACCATTGTCTACTTTTGAACTTGTAAAGGTGGCTAGAAATGTCGACTTCTCCTTCTTAGGATTTTTCTTGAGCTGCATGGTTGTTAGTCGGACCTGCCCTTCTATCTTCAGTGCCTTAACCAAGGGAACCATGCATGTTCCTCCTTACTCCATGACCAGAAGTCATTGGAGGTAAGGATCGATCACCGTGTGGCACTGCTGGAAGAACTCTTGCCAATAATAATGTCAAAGAGATCTAAAGGAGCAACAGTGAAGTTGGTCTTACCTTGCCACTCGCCTAGTGTGATGCTTACTCCATGCGCGTCTCCACTCACGGGAGTTAGTGGTGCATTAACCATCTTGTGTTGGGCATTAATTGGACTGTAACGCAGCCCCAACCTTGTCGCTTCCGTCTTGGTCATGATATTGATCTCTGCACCTGTGTCGACCATAGCACGAGCGGGTCTTCCATTGATCGTGATGTCGACATACTGCGCGCCGTATACTCTCAGCTTCTCTGGTTGCTTGGTGATAGCTCCACATAATCTTATTAAGCCCAACTACGTCATCCCGCGCCTTGTTCTTGCTCATGTGCTTCCCTCTCTTTCCTCTCTCACACTATAGCACCAAGGTTTTTCAGCTCAAGGCACCTCGCATAGCCATGCGGCCCACCGCATATGTAACCACCTCTTTTGGCAACCTCTATATTTTTATCCGTGTAGCCATGACATCCATACTTCTTTCCATCGTACTTAAAGGTATCATGCTTCTTAGGATGTGGCCGCTGCTCCTTGCCTTTGCCACGATCTCCCCCACCATGGTCATGACTACCTCTCACTTCTTCTCCTCCGACTTTGTTGGGCTTCTCTTGCCTGAAGTCTGTCAAAGCTTCGGCATGTGTGATGGCTTCATCAATAGTCCTGACCTGTCGGCGTTCAACTCCGTCGTGACCCAAATTTTGCAGCCCATCCATGAAGTGGAACAACATATCTTCATTTGTGAGGTTGGGAATCTGTAGCGTGAGGGTGTTGTACTCCTGCACTGCATGTATTCTACCCATTTTCTTCAACTCCCTAAATTTGCGCTTCGCCTCATATATGACGTTGTTAGGAAAGAACACTTTCTTTAACTCCTCGCGGAATTTCTCCCAAGTGTTGATGGTGCAACAACCCTTCCCTATTTCTGACTCTTTACGCCTCCACCACAGCATGCCCATCTTCGAAAGATACAACACAGCGGTGTTGATCTTACTCTCGTCGCTCTTCAGCCTGTTGCACTTGAAGTAATTCTCCAAGTGCCATAACAAATTCTCCAGCTCTTGCGCGTCACAGACGCCTTTGAACATAGGTGGCTTGGGAGCCTCCACCTTGGCCTCCCTATCTCGGCCGAACGACGAAGATCCTCTAACTTCCATGCCTTCCTTGAGTGTTTTTACTTCGGCCTTCAGCGTCTCGATCGTGTTATGCACATCCATAAGCTGACACTCCAAGGAAGTGATGGCCTCTTTCATCTCAAACTTAACCTGCTGGCGGCCCTCCAACTCCTTACGGATGTTCTCGTTCTCCTCAAGGGTGAAGTCCTCGAGGGTCTTGAACTTGTCGTCTGCCATATTCATGCGCCGGACTAATATCTCCACGGCCTGCCTTGCCACTTCAACCCTTGCGACCCATTCTTCTCCAGCGGTGATGTCTATGGTGTCTTCGCCCAATTCATCGTCACTTGCTTCGATAGTCGAGGGCGGATGAGATGTTAGTGCCTCGCTAGGTGTGGGATTGGGAAACACCTCCTCATTACCCTTTTGATGTTTCTTCCCCTTTCAGTTATTCTTTCCACAATCCATACGAACGTTGGTGGTGCTAGCGCCGTTTACATCACCTTCGGTAGTCATTCCCTTAGTATCAAATTAGACTCTGATACCACGTTGTCATGGACTTAGAGTTTTTGCTAAAGCTCCGTGCGGCACTTGACAACTTACTCACAAATCTTTCATGATCTTGTAAGCTCAAGTAAGCCCTTTTATACTAAGATCGATAAGAGAATGCTTGGAAATACTTATAAAGAACAAGAAAGAAAGCTTTGAAGACTTTTGTATTGCTTTGGAAGATTGCTTTACAGCTTGCTTGATTCCTAGCAAACGAAGGTCCCTTCTAATTTTTCCTACAACCTAGGGGCCTAAGTTTAATTTTAAAATTACATACAAGTTTGGTCCCTATCGTAGAAAAGTCTACACTTTCTAAGACTTTCTTGAATAATCTAAGTTATTCTAGAGAATTCTAAGCCTTCTTGATTAGTCTAGAAGGTTCTAGAGTTCTCCGCAAACCTCTCCACAACTCTAGACCCTTCCGCCCCATCCGGACGCAAAATTTAATTGTCATGTGGCGGGACGTGACACTTGACAAAGCTCAAATGGGATTGTTAGATCCTTGGGTTTGCGAATGGCTCCTATAGTGGCTCTAAAAAGTCGTGTTCTGCAGTTAGGGAAGCCCCTAACTGCAATGTTTCATATATATCTCGCACAACACATATTTTTCCCACTTCACGAGTGACCATGTTGCTGGGACTGACAAGAAATAATATAAGAGTGATCATACCAATAGAATATGCATGCACTTACATATAAAGCGAAATATCTCCAACAATGCGAAGATGTTGGAATGTATCAGTGCCTTCTTAAACAAGAGGATTCCCAAGCCACCAACTGCTAATGCTAAGGTGAGAACACTAATCATTCTTGTTTACCGAAACTGTTCTCCTGGTCTCTCGCTGAAAACATCGCGAACTTGACGCTGCCCAGGATCAGTTTTGGATATCTGTATCCAAAAAGAATAGCCAACAAGTTCACATTTATAACCAGGTGAGTGTATTTCTGCTCGAAAAAGAAGAGAAATAGAGAACCCTGAGATCCAAACTAATGGAAATTAAATCCACTCTAAGCAATTGGAATTATAAAGAACGGTTTGCGCTAAAGGACATTAATAATGTAAAATGTTCAACAAAACAATATGCAAACTAAAAAACAATGTTGTTAAAGTTCTAAGTTGCTCCAAAAATGTTGTTACACCCATTCGGTTCCTACAAAAACGCACTACTTTGAAGGCACTGATACACCAGATGATATTTCTGAAGAGTCTGAGCAACATATGTTAAAAGTTAAACATATCATAATTCATGTAGTGACCCAAATAATCCACTTTTTTTTGAGGGTGACCCAAATAATCCACTTTGCCAGAGCTACTAGTCCCATATATCTCTTTGTTAAACATCATATTTTTGTCAATGCATGTAATGTGCTATACATGTCGAGTTAATCAACTACAACAGGCTTAACAAAACAATTCATTTTGCTCTTCCATGGTTCAAGTTGCTTTGCTTACCAAATTGGTCAAGCGGGCAAAGACATTCTCCATATCTGGGCGAGCATTTGGATCCTCATCCAGACATTCTGCTGCTTGTTTTGAGATTCCACAAGTGAGCACACCATCACAATTTACCAGAGCTGATTCATCCACTATCGATCTTTTACCACCTTGTAGCTCCTCCATAATCCACCAATAATATGGACCTTCAATATTTTTGTTATTGGTAATCAACTTCAAAAGTTGAATACCAAATGCGTAAACATCACCTTTCAAAGTCTCAGTAACATTATCAGCCTCACGAGAAGTATTATGAGGGATGTCTCTTACACGAATCAGGGAAGAAAAGTCCACTACTTTTATGTTGAACTCCTGAAAGAAATGGATGAGCAGAACGAGATCCATAACATTTAGACGTTACCTTGTCAATCATTATGGCAGAAGGCTCCATACGACCAATTGCAAATCTCTTCTCATGCAACCAAGTGAAGAGGCTTGCAAGTTGAGTTGCCACCTTCATTCTATCCTCTCATCTAAAGCTTTCTGTCAAATTGAAGAGAGCTGCAAAACCTCCATGGATGAAGGCTTGATTAAAGAGGAAGAAGAAGAGGCATGGAAAATGTGTGAACAATTCTTATTCAGTTGTGTCACAGAAAATGTGAGTAGCTGTGGTTATATAACCACCAAAAACAGAAGCTAACCAAAACAGAAAACTTGTAACTAACTTCCTGAAAACTAAACTAACTAATTGTAATTGAATTAACAACTAATTAATTACATTAACAGCTATGTGTAATGACTAATTTAACCTCAATACCCCCCCCTCAAATTGGAGCAGAGGTGATCAAAACCAATTTGTCTAGAATTGTAGAATGCTTAATCCTAGTAAGTGCTTTTGTAAGAACATCTGCCAAGTGATTAGTAGTGTCAACATGATGTAATGAAATGAGCCCTTCTTGGAGTTTTGATCTCACAAAATGACAATCCACTTCTATATGTTTTGTACGTTCATGAAAAATAAGACAGGATTTTTAGCAATATGTATGGCTGCTTGGCTATCACAAAACACAGGAAATGGTGCAGTCTGATATATATTCAGCTCTTCAAACAACCTTTGCAACCAGGTTAATTCACCTACTACTTTTCTCAATGATCTGTACTCTGCTTCAGCTGAAGAGAGTGAAATTGTTTCTTGTTTCTTGGACTTCCAGCTAATAGGACTGTCGCCTAACAATACAATGTAACCACTAACAGATTTCCTTGAATCAGGACAAGCAGCCCAATCAGAATCGCAATATGCTTGTACATCAAAGTTTGCAGCAGACGACATGAATACACCTAGAGTAGGATCTTTCTTGAGGTATCTTAACATATGAAAAACAGCATGTAGATGAGGCTCTCTAGGATCTTGCATGTACTGACTGAGAAGTTGCACACCATAAGCGAGATCAAGCCTAGAATGTGTGAGGAAATTCAACTTGCCAATTAGTTTTCTGTAATAAGTAGGGTCATCCAGAACTTTCCCTTCATGGGATCTTAGCTTGATATTTGGATCTAGTGGAGAAGATAAAGGAGTCATGTGATCATTAATTGAACTCCTTGAGAAGATCCAACACAAACTTTCTCTGATAAACCAGAATCCCATCATCTTTGTACACGACTTCTAAGCCTAGAAAATAATGTAGTCTGCCAAGATCTTTGATCTTAAACTGATTGTCAAGGAACCTCTTTAGCTCATCAATCTCATTAGTGTCTGTTCCTGTCAGTAAGATATCATCCACATAAACACCTAGAAAGACATTAGATGCACCTCTTTTCTTGTAAAACAGTGAATAGTCATGAGGAGAATATTCATATCCTCCTATGTGTAATGCCTCAGTCAGCTTTTCATACCACTGCCTACTAGCCTGCTTTAAACCATACAATGACTTGTTTAATTTGCAAACTAAATCCTTGTGAGGAGTGGCCAAACCTGGTGGAATGTCCATATACACTTCTTCATGTAAATCTCTATGTAGGAAGGCATTGTTCACATCAAGCTGATGTATGTTCCACTGTTTCTTTGCAGCAGCAGCAATAAGTGTTCTCACAGTGGTCATCTTGACCACAGGTGAGAAGGTTTCTGTATAGTCTATGCCATGATGTTGAGTATATCCCTTTACTACAAGTCTTGCTTTATACCTTTCTACACTTCCATCAGCCTTGTGTTTAACCTTGTAAACCCACCTACAACCAACAGACTTCTTATCCTTTGGCAGGTTTGTGAGAGTCCAAGTATTGTTGTCATGCAGGGCAAGAAACTCTTGTGTCATTGCCTTTTGCCATGCAGGATCCATAGATGCTTCCTCATATGAATTAGGTTCATATTCATGAGAAATATTCATTACAAAGGACTGACTATCAGAACTAAAGACATCAGGAGACACATGATGTTTAAGAGTGAAAAGAGCATTCAAGGGTAAAGAATGTGGTTGTGAATTTGAAGCAGTTGAGGATGGTACATTGTGAACATAGTCAGTCAAGTATGTAGGAGTCTTATGTAGCCTTTGAGATCTTCTAAGTTGTGGTATGGATGTGGGATTTTCAGGTGTGATGTGAGTAGGTGAAGTGGAGTTTTCAGGTATGATGTGAGTAGGTGAAGTGGAATTTTCAGGTGTGATATGAGTAGGTGATGTGGTTGTTTCTTTACTGGGGTAGTCTTGATCATCATATGATGTTGGATAATCATGAAGGGACACATAGTGGAAAGGAAATTTTGGGAAGTGAGTAGGGTCTTTAGACATGGCAAAAGGAAATATAGTTTCATGGAAAATAACATCCCTTGAGACATGGATCTTCTGAGTGGATAGGTTCAAGACTTTGTAACCCTTTGTAGCATAAGGATATCCAACAAACACATGTGGTATAGTTTTGGGATCAAACTTAGTTCTGTGAACTTTTGGAGTAGTAGGATAACATAAACATCCAAAACTCTTTAGGTGTGAGTAGATAGGTTTGTGTTTATATAAGATTTCATATGGAGTTTTATTGTGGAGAGGAAAAGAAGGTAGTCTATTTATAAGGTATGTGGAAGCAAGTATACATTCACCCCAATATTTCACTGGGAGTTTAGACTGAAAAAGTAGAGCCCTTGTTGTTTCAAGAATATATTTGTGTTTTCTTTCGACCACACCATTTTGTTGAGGAGTATAGGGACAGGATTTCTGATGGATGATCCCTTTGGATTGAAAAAATAGAGTGGTTTCATTGCTAGTGAATTCCAACCCATTATCTGATATGATGGTTTTAACAGTGGTGCTGAACTGGTTCTCAACCATGAGTACAAAGGCTTTAAGGACATGGAAAGCATTGCTTTTACAGCTCAGAAGTTGTGTCCAGGTAGATTTACTAAAGTCATCTACTAAGGTGATGAAATACTTGAAGTTATCATGAGTTGTTGTTTGATATGGACCCCAGATGTCAACATGTAATAGTTCAAAAATGCCAGTAGTGGTGTGTGTTTTTGGTGGAAAGGGTAATCTGGATTGTCTTGCCATGGGACATATAGGACAGAAGAAAGGTTGTTTTGATGAGAATTTTGCTGGTATGGAAGATATATTTTTCATCTTCACAAAGGGTACATGACCAAGTCTATAATGCCACAACAGATCCACACTATCATTAGGGAAGGAACTAGAAATAAGAGAGTTGTTAGCAACATTGTCTTTATTACCAACAAGAGAAGAGCTTATTTCATCTGAATGAGAATTACAAGAAAGAGATGTACATTGTACTTTGTTACTGGATAAAGAGTAAAGAGAAGATGAATAATGCTGAGCATGTGAATTCTTTTA